TAATAAATATCTAGAATATTAAAAACTCAAAAACATAAAACACTCCCCTAAACAACCCAACTCCATCTCAAAAGATGAAGTACAAATGGTCAATAAACATGAAAAATGGTCAACATCACTAGCAATCAGAGAAGTACATACAAAATCTAAATCGAGATTCCACCTTACCCCAGTCAGAAAGGCTATTGTCAAGAAAAAATAACAAGTCCTGGTGAGAATGTTGGGACACTGTTGGGAACAGAAACAGAGATACCTGTACATCAATGTTTATTTCAACATTGTTCATAATGGATAAGTTATGGAACCAATCTAGGTGTCCGTCAACAGAGGAATAGATAAAATATATACATAATGAAAATTTTTCAGCCATAAAGAAGAATGAAGTTATGTCATTTGCAGGGAAATGGATATAATTGGGGGTAATTGTACTGAATGACTTGTCAGTCTCAGAAAGACAAATATTACATGTTTTCTCTCATTTGTGGATCCTAGCCTCATGGATTCATAAAATAATTTATGTATGGATGACATGAAAATAGAAACAAAACTGTCTTTGAGTCAAAAGGGACTAATTTTGCGGGTGGGGGAGAAAAGGACAAGGCAGGAGGTCCCCTATTAGTTACCTGCTGTGATAATGTGACTGACAAAAGTGACTCAGTGATGGAAGGGTTTACTTTGGCTTACAGTTCCAGAGAATATATTCCTTCCCAGCATCGTGGCATAGTGGCAAAAACAGGAGGCAGCTGGTTACATTATGTCTTCAGTCAGAAAGCAGAGCTGATCAGTGCCTGTTCTCTGTTCCCTTTATCCTTTTTTTTTCTTTTTTTTTAAAATTTTAATTAAAAGAAACATTTCATTACAACAGCATTAACCTATTCAATAACATTTTTCTGAGCTAGGGTACATCTCTTTCAAAATTGGCTGTACATTTCTAGGTTTACAGATGAATTATTACGCTTATATAATCTTTAACTCCTTATAAACTCTGTAAGACATAAAATTAAATGAGGTTCCAACGTTTAAAAAAGATCCTGAACTCTAGCCCAATGATATTTGCCATGTTTAGGGCACATTTTCCCATTTCAATTAAGCTTATCTACATAACTCCTCATAGACTTGCCCAGAGATTTGTTCCCATGGTTATTCAAAATTGCATCAAGTTGACAATCAAGACTGACATCACATGAAGCAAGGGTGGAAAGGGTATGCTCAAAGTGCATCATGTATGTACATGGAAATAGTCTTGTGTAACTCGCTATAATAAATTTTTCAAACTGAAAAAAGTGAATCTCCAACTCTTATCATTAACTAAATTAAACTCCAGATTAATTAAAACTTTATGTGTCAAAGCTGAGAATATAAATTAGGAGAAAATACAGAAAGGAAATATAAAGTACTAAACTTAAAAATTAGAGGAAGGACTTTCTAAGCACCATGAGAGAGGTTGAAAGATTTAATTACAAAAAGATCTGAAACTGTGTGTATCACAAGGTACTGTACACAGAATTAAAAACTCATCCAGAATGGACATGTAGCCTAAATAGATTCATATGTATTAAAAATAAATGTGTAATCTTTCCAAGAAAGAAATCTCCAGGTGCAGTCAATTTCACTGTGGTATTCTACCTAACATTTAAAGAGAGAATAGCACCAATTCTACAAAATCTCCATAAAATTTAAGAGGAAGGGCAGTGAGATAGCTCAGCAAAAGGTGCTTGCCACCAAGCCTGAAACCTGAGGCTAGGCCCCAGGCACCACACAATGAAAGGAAAGAATCGACTCCCAAAAGCTGTTGACTGACCTCCACATGTGCACCATGGCATGAGTGCACCCTGTCCCCTCAACCTCAAATACACATGCACACACACACTCACATATATTTTTAAAAAATAATTTATTGAGAATTTCATACAGGCATATAGGCATATAAGGTATTTTGATCAAATCCATGCCTACTCCCTCCCCTCCAACTCCTCCCATATCTCCCCATCACTTTTTTCTAATAACTTCATGTACTCTTTCTATTTTTTGCTACTCTAACCTTCCCCCCTCTGAAGAGGTAACCCTAAAATCTTTGAAGGATTAGAAAAAAGCTCCCAAATACTTTTGATATTTTTGACCTTTGGAATGGAGTATGTTGCTAACAGGCCCAAGGAGATTTTGACTTTTAGCCAAGAAACTGGCTACTTTTCTTTGGGGTCTTTTTACACTAGCTGCCTAGCCAATTCCTACTTCCTATTCTTTTTTTAAAAAAAATATTTTGTTTATTATTTTTATTTTATGTGTATGAGTGTATTGCCTGCACGTATGTGAGTGCACCCATGTCAAGCAATGCCATGGAGGTCAGAAGAGGGCTTCAGATTCCCCTGGAACTGTAGTTAAGGGCAGTTCGTAGGCCACCATGTGGGTGCTGGACTCTAACCCGGGTCCCCTGCAAGAGCAGTTGGTGCTATTAACTGCTGAGCCATCTCTCCAGTCCCCTCTTTCCTATTCTTATCACACCATCCTCTGAAGAGGTTATCCAACTTTCAGATAGGTAATCAGGTTGCAGACTGCTCTGGCTTCTTCCATACTGAACAGAAACTCAGGGTGAGGCAATTGGGGTACCCCTTCAGTGGGTCTATCTAAGACTCCCAAATTGTATAATTCTTATCTGTAGGGGGAAAAGAAAGTTCTTGACTGGTGAATAGGAGATGTGAAGAAATGAAGGCAAGAGTAATTAGCATTACAAGTTCTAAACAGGGAACTAGAAAAAAAAGTCAGAACAGGGCAAATTTCAAATGTTCACATGAGAGTCCATTACAATTTCTTGAGAAGAGCTTCCAAAAGCATCCCTCTGTTGGATTCCTCCTCATTTT